GACCTTTTCATATGGGGATTCCCCCTTCTCGGGCATTTGTGCCATTCAGAAAACCGGTATTTTCCTCAAACGCCTACAACTGACCTTTTTACGCTTTCAGTTCTTTTTATTACACCTATTTAGTTGTCTATTTGGGTTTCTACAACTACAGTTATGTTCAATCCAGAAACAAAGAATGGTTGGTTAATAGGTGGTTAATGGGTGGAAAATGTTCCTTGAGAGTTACATCTGTGTTGTTAGTTTTAAAAGACTGATTTGTCTAGTATTGATATGTAGTTTTATAATTCAAAGCATAAATAACTTGTATTTAGTTTCATTACTCGTTTTTTTTCTTGTGTTATGTGGATTTCAAGACTTGTGTTATCATCCGCGGGCTTTCCCAAAATACAACGAAAGACGCTTTACAAAACTACTTTGAAAACACGAAGCGATCAGGTGGCGGTCACGTGGAAGAAGTCAACATCAAAGGTGATTGGGCACGCATCAAGTTTGAATCAGCTGAAGGTACAGTATATGTTGTATTAGCCTGTGTAGCAGACGTTTCTTNGACGCACCGGGGGAGGCGAAGTAGAGCACGTGGATTATACGCCTGAGAAGGGAATTGCTGTCGTGACTTTTGTAAAAGCTGAAAGTAAGTGAGCTTACTATTAAAAAAGGATTGTTTTACGGTTCGACGCATAACCAACTATGATGAAGCTCAGCCAATTCCATTGTCTATAAACCAATCAGATGCTGGTAGATGGCTCGTGCGGAGGGTCCTGAACAAAACCGTCGGGCCAAATAATAAATGCGGTGTTTACTAGATTACTAGATACTAGATTCGAAATCTCTCTGTAAATCCGTTGATATCGCCCGTGAAATGCAGGCATCTGACATTCTGTTAGCCTTCGCGTAACCGCATGGCTAAACAAAGGGTATCATTCTGCATTGATAAAGTTATAGTCTGTTACGTTTTCGGGCTAAATTAGTAAAATTATAGCATAAGTGCAAATTACGAAGAACTTGGACAACAAGGAAACTCTCCGAGAAAGGACCTCTAGTAACTTGGTTTCTTTGTTTTATTTGTTCTCTACTCTGAAGGTGCCGTTGGAGTTGTCAACCAAGGAGCACTCACTCTTGATGACGCAGAACTGAAAATAACCATCAGAAAACCTGTAAAGGAGCTTCCTATTGACACTAAAAGGTTTGTTGTCAAAGGTCTGAGTGACAAAACCACACGGGATGGACTTCAATCTTACATGGAGGTTGTCAGTGGAGTAGAAGTGTCGTCCATTGAATTTGGACAGCAAGGAAGTGCTGCAGTGACCTTTAATGAAACATACGGTAAATTTTATTAAATTTACTTAAATTTTTAAAAAACAATCAGGGTTGTTTTAGATTAAGCTCCTTCGTCATCTTATTGTATGCGATCTTAGATTGGGCTCATGCTAAGCGTTTCTCTCGAGTAACTGACGTGATTGGGAGTTGCGGAGTACGATTGCGTAGGGGTTGTTCGAGGATAGCAAACATCCACAGCGATAGAAGACCACTAGTTGAGAAGACTCTCTCTCTATTTCCCTTTCTTGTTAAATTTATCAGGCTTTTTGCTAAGAAAGAATAAGAGAATTTCCGCTTGGTGGCGATGTTTGTACACGCCATTTAATGGAACACAGGCGTTCGTCCATCGAGTTATCTCTGTATGCTCGCACTTCTGATTTAACAGCGCGGATTAATTGACTTTGTTGTAGTTACTCTCGCCACTGTGCGCTTTATGCTCTCTAGCTTTATGTTGTCTTCTCGCTGTGACATCTGTGTACTCAGTACCATTCATAAACTGCGCTGACGCGAAGAGTTTGAGTTTAAGTCAAGGATGAAAGTGAAGCGATAATCTTTCATCTCATTGCACTTGGCCGCAAAATAAAAATAAAAAATTTCAAACTTATTTCCCACACTTCACATTTTGGAATTCAGTGGCGGTTTTGACCTCGAGCCTGCATAAACGAACATTTTGTGCCTTCAACACTCAAAACGACATCTTATCGAAGGTATCCAGGACAGCAGTATTGGAAAAAAACTTGGCAATACAATCTTCCGATCTAAACTGTAGCTCAATACTGCGTCTTTTAACAATAGCCTTATATCTGATACTTTGTCAGACGACTCTTCCCCACAGTTTTGTGTTGACTATGACAACAGTTGAAAATAGGGATTTCAGTTGCAGTCTAAAGCCAGGAATCACTCCGTCTAAATAGACATTTCCAGATTTAAAAGATATACTAGATTCATTTTATGCTTTGCTTTGTTTTCGTTCTGAACAAAGCCGCCCTCGCCTCGCTTTTTGAACGCTACCGCAACAGTCCCGCATGTTCTGTTATTTGGCTTATAACCTATTGACCACCTTGCGACCTAATTATCATTTTTGTACCATTTGCAAGTATCTTAGTACTTTGGGACCTGAGGAACTACATTTTTTCCGTAGACCATAAAACCATTACACAGAAGATTGCGAAGAAATCACTGGATGGTAACAAGCTCTCAATCGAGCAAGTAACTGTTTGCAATTGCGTGCAAGTGACAGGTCTCAACAGGGAAAAGACTACTCAGGATGCAGTTCTTTACTACTTTGAAAACCCCAAGAACGGGGGCGGTGAGGTCATCAAAGTAGAACTTAATATAAAGGAAGGATGCGCACTGGTCCACTTCG